AAAAATTATTATTTAGTTATTAAAAATTATCTGAATAAATAATTTTATTCGGGAAAATTTCATAATTCAAGGAAATATCCCTATAAAATTAGGAAACTTTTGTTTATGTTACTAAAAATTCGTCTCGCGTAGTTATTTTATTTTTATTTGAAATTGGGAGAAATCCCTAAACTTTAAGGGATTTTCTCCACTTGAAACAAATCCCTATTTCGACGGGGAAAATCCCTATTTGAAGTATTTTTTTAACGAACTAAAGAAGTAACAGGAAATTTTCTTCCGTATAGGGAAAAACCCCTTCATTTGGGGGAAAATGTTCTAAACATCAAGGAAAAATCCCTACTTCAAAGAAATTTTAAGGATTATTAAAATGTAAAATCCTCAAATATATACACGAAATTAATCGAAACTAAACCTTTATACTTTTATTTATTTTTTAATGCAATTATCATTTAATTTTCCTGATTTCAATAAAGAAAACTGTAAACATGTATATATTTAATTTAAACACAAACAAATGAATGAAGTTTTTCATTCCAAAATGCAAAAAAGATTCTAGCAAGAGGAATCTCAACTCTTCACTTCTACAAATGACGGAGTGAATCAACTTGTAAAGGGCCTTTAACCCTCGAAAAAATTAATTGAACCTGACTGAGAAGGCAACACAGCGGGTACTTTTACATTTGCATAAGAGAGGAAAATATCGGAAAATTATACAATGTCTGCACTTTAACAATAAAAAAAAAGGAAGAAAAAGAGGAGCATTTACTTGAAAACCTCATCATTCCTACTCGTAGACAAATTTATTTAAAAGGGGGGGCCAAGTCTCCTCTTAAAACTCGTGAAGATCGAACGAGGAAAGTTATTAATTGATGAGCTATCAACAATGCGCCTACAATATTCATTATAGGGATTATTGGGATGTAGGAGGCCTTGGAATTAAGCACGTAGTAGATATAAACGGGTATGGATCCTTATAGGCTAAAGTCCTATTACTAAAGGGGGCCCCTGCAGAGCGCAAATTAAGCTGGGTGTATCAGAGTGGATTACTGGATCACAAATGATGTTCTGATATTGAAAGGATGGCATCGAGGAGCCATTTTTTTAAAATGGTGCCGTCGTCGTTTGTGGGATTCTGGATTTGATTTGATTTTTATTTTTTTTGGGGGGGGGAGGTTTTGTGGCCATGTAAGATTGTTTGAAGCATGAGGGCTATTGCAAACTCGGGAGCTGTAATCGAGTAAGAGAAGAAGACTCTGGAGGAGATAAGGAAAGCAGTTAGTAAAGAAGGCATTTATCAGGAGTTAATTTATTTTGTGGAAATTTCGAAGGAGAAGTTGGAAAAGGGCATCCCCGGTTATGATTTCGGATGTAGAGGAACTGTATTACGTATGCAGATTTATTCATTCCTCAAAGCTGGCCTTAATGACATTGTCATTTCCTATAAGCTATTAGAATAATGGCGCGAGCGGGATGATAAATTGCCTCTTTGCTTTATCCTAAAACTCTTCCTCTACAATGACGCCACACTCCGTTTCCATTTTTGTTACGTCTTGAGACGTTGCAGGGGCCTCGAAATTTTCATCTTTCTTCGATTTCGCTTTCTTGTAAACTAGATCTCAAATTGTTCTGTCGAAATTCTCGATAGAACCGACATTTTCGGGGTGTTTATGGTTATGAGGTTCGATAAATGCAAAGGGCCTGTGTAGATTTTTTTTTCAGTAGGGATATGAAGTATTCTTGACGCTTGCTGATAAGAGCAATAGAAGGTCTGTCTCTTGACTTAATAAGGTCTCTAACGGAGATTCGTTTATAGTTCCCAGCTGCCTAAGAAAATCGTGTTACGAGTTTGTCCACGGGAAATTTTTCGTGACGTCAAACAATATGTATTCTTTAATATAAAGATGACTCGGAATTCATTCGGTAACACGTAATTATGACGTCGAAAGCATTGTAAATGCAATTACATCATTTATGGAAAGGCAGTTTGTAGATTATGAGGTTAACCGGCAAAGGATGCAAATATAAAGAATGTAAATCCGTACAACGATAGGTCCGAATGTGTAGTATGTAGAGAACAATTAAGTGATTAATACACGTGAGTCAGCCAGACGAAAAAAGGGGAGTGGCGCGCAGCAATAGCTTGTATTTATGACAAAGTGGTGGACACCATCGGAGCCATATGTCGGCGCTTTATAGCCTATAACGGCTCTTCCTCGGATAATCCCCTTCTGCAGTTATGTGTGCGTCATTTGCCTCCGATTGCTGCTGCCAAACCAGTTAGCACGTCTGATCGACTGCACGATTCCGTTCTACATCTTTTTCTTCTCTATAACGACCCCTCATAAAACCAATACAACTCATCGATTGATAATTGCTGATCGCTGCACTTTTACGCGGTTGGGATGCGGTGGGACGGCCCCGCATCATGCGCTAGCGCTTTTTTTTTTTCATTCCCCCTTCTCTACGTTTGGTATATGTTAAAAGGAGGCATTATCTCTCGCTTGCTATTATGGCAAATCGAAGGACTTTAAAAGTGAACAACTATATAATAATCTTCACGAGCTACTTATCATCTGATAATTGATGATCTTTCTTTCTAGATAAGGCAACTTTCTGAGCAAAACAGGGAAGAACACTACGAAATACTTGGGGTGAATCGACCACTCTGTCAACTTTCGCGTGTGATTATCGTGGACGATCACGTGATGGAAGATAACGTCTACGAAAAAAAGTCGAAAAAAGGAAAGTTTCATTGAAGAATTATTTTTCTAAAGTGCAGGAAGATCGCCGATAACCTCTATTTTTTGGCAGAAGAACCGTCATTACGTCTTTCTTCCTAATCGATTGAGGTTTTGTGCACTTCTGAGGATCATTACGAGGCCTTGCAAACAACGGTTAAAAGCCTATAATAAAGGTATTTTCGAAGGCTTAACTAACAAAAAGCACTCGCATAACTTGACCATAAATGGGGCACCATAAGCCACGCTTGGCTTAAAATTTATAAGCTTCGATAAGGCCTCAAAAACGATGTTAAATTCGGTCGTAAATTTAATCGCTGTTTACATGCGTATCGGGAATAAAATTTCGAAGTCGTCTACGTGAGTAGGTTAGAAAACTAGCTAGGGCCTCCGGGTCACGTGACGCGGTTTATGGACCCCGAAGGCATCAGATTACGAGATGAATAACCGGGTATTGCGTGCAGTTGATTTTGCCTTCAAAATTACTGCTTTTATTGACGTCACGAGTGGTTAAGAGGTAATTTGAGTAATTTTGGAATATTTCTTTTATGAATGTAGCGATTTGTGGGGGGAGGTCAGATTGGTTGTAATGAAAAGAAATCTACAAAACACCGAAATTAACTCGGAAAAAAACAGGAAAACGTTAAATCGAGTATTTTAATACACCTGGAAGAAGTGAATTTCCCCCGTACTAGGGCCAAAATGTTTAAATTTGACGTTAAAAAGTAATAATTCAATTTGGACCCTGAATAGAGAACTACCGAAATTATTTTAAAGCAAACTACAGATTATGAACTCGAAGAATTTCGAACACATGAGTAATGACTCCAGGCGTTACGTCACCAATTTAGTGCTGCAGCAACATTCCGGCATTTGGGCATTAATCACTGCGGAGTAGGATTACTTGTTATCTTGATTAATTCTCCAAATTATTACCCGGTTAATAAAACTCTTAACCCCCCCCCAAATATTCATATATACATTGTTGATTATGATACTATTCAAGACAATAGTAAATAATTTACCTACCATTCACCTGATCGGATCCCTCAACAAAGGGCGGAATTTAGTGCCATAAAGTGACTCCTAAACCACAACAATGGATCCCAAACGATTAAATCAAGTATCTGCTGATTTTTTTTTATATTATTATTAATCTAATTTGGCATATTTCTGTATCTTCTCGGGCGTAAATAGCGTGCAGGATGTTAAATAGGAAGCTGGCTCCTGTATGAGTCATTCTTCTTCTTCGTGACATCCGTTTTCTGGCTCCTTGACACGTGGTATAGGGCCTATCATTGTTTTTGACGTCTGGGGGACGTTCACCTGGGGATACGGGGGTATACTATAATAGTTAGGTAATACAGAGCCAGGGGACGTGTTTCTAGAACTCAGTTCGAAGATCGTGATCACGAGTTGAATGTTACCGTTAGATTTTGGGATTAAAATTAAGCAAAAAACGCCCATTAAAGGGCCCGTTTTTCGTTGTCTTTTCTATAAATCTAAGAGTTTAATTTAAGAAATAGTCGCAAGAAGAGCCACATGTGGATTCGATATAACGTGAATATGAAGTTTTCGATGTCAGGGGCCCTTCTCTTCTAATTCTGGAACAGAATGTTACTCTACCCCACTATATAAGAAATCTATTGAGACCTTCTTTTCTATATATATCGTAGGATTAGAATATAAGAAAGTGACTTTCGCTAAGATCTTTGTTTGTTTAGGTGACAGCTTCAACAATGCGTTTGCGGTGCCGGAATCTGGGGACGATCCAAGCGATTTCTAAAGGGTAAGAGCCAGCGAATTAGGAGCTCTCGGATACTGAAAGCCTCGTCTATGACGTCACAGCTGAACGGTAGAGTCGCAGTTAGCAGTAACGGTCCGATTCCGGTCATATATCTCGACCTACAGAGGGCAGAAAGTCCATCCGGTCATCTCGTTTGCCATAATGGGCCCTACGATAAATCTGAAACTCCTGTTCGAGTTCGGAAGTCGTTCACTCCTCCCCATCTTCTTGTTCTTTCTCCCTTTTTATTGCCGCGAATACACCTACGAATGGCTAAGCGCATTAAATGCTGATTTATGGTACAGAAATGCCATTAATGGGCACAATGGGTACTGATTTAATAAATAAAGCGATATGGTCTGAGCCTCAGCCGTCCCAAACCCAAGGAGACGTCACTGAGAACACTTGGCTTTTGGAGTGATGCAACTCGGCGGGAGGGGGCGGAGAAAATGAATTAATTTTCGTAGGTCACTCACCTGACTGACTTCTGTCCACCGTCTGCGTGGCGACGTTCCTAACGGAGGAGCAGGGATGTGCAGCACTCAAGATAAAGTAGGAGCTGTCGGACAGGTGAGCGGGGGACGAGCACCACCTGTGCAGGTCGCACCTTCTCTCCATGGCGATCCGGTGAATGTGAGGTTCGGAAGAGGAGTGCTGTATCGCAATCACGTGACAGTGACCGTCGTCCGTTTTACTGCATGCCATGAGGTTAACAATGACGTCAATCTTCATCCACTCCCTAAAAAAAAAAAAACAAGGAGCAGTTAGCGGAGAAAAATGCCCAGAGTCAACGTCTCTCTTTCTCGCTCCACTTTCACAACCCCGAGCCGGGAGGGGGTTCAAAGAGGCGGTGACTCACCTGTTGAAAGCGTGTTACGTCACTTCCGCCGAAGTGCAGCAACCTGTTGCGGACCAAGCGGATTTCATATGCAAGCGTAAACGGGGGCAAAGAGAAGAGTTACGTATTCGTAGAGGAACTGAGACTTTAATTATTGTCGCGGGGAGTAGTCAGACCCGTTTTTAGTGTCGCAGCTTCACTTCTCCAGTAGATGAAGCAGTCGTTGACACAAACCAGTTGTCCTTGAACTGCTCCGCTTCGCTTTTACCTCTTATTTAACTCTGCAAAACGAGGGAGGGTTGTTGAACCGATGTAGATTACGTTTACTTCAATATAGATAGATACGGGATTCGATGCCGAATGCCAATTAGGTGTCTCGATAATGAATACCGGTTCCATTTACTCGGCTCCTGGACTACTTGTTGCTCCACTTATTGACTTTATAATAGACGAAGAAGGGGCGCTAACTACTAGGAGCGAGTTTTTGCACCCCCTCTCTCACTCACTCTAGCTCCCAAGGCAAAGGTGCAAAATGGTTCTTTCTTACTAGGAAGCCGATTTTTTGGGTGTAAAAAGTCGTGATTTTTTGCCAGTCACGCATTTTAACGAAGCCTGCGGGTGTTTTTTTAGTGTTTAAAACGTAACCTTCGTTTCCACGAGCATGCAACATGCTAAAACAGTACTTTTCATAAGTTTGGGGCATTCAAAAGTACCAAAATGTAATGCATTACGGGAAGGCCACAGAAATAAACAGAATCGACACACTTTCTCCCGCGGGTCGCCCAGTAACTTTCGTGTTTCAACACGTCCGACGGAGTGTCGTGACCTTGCGTGGTTGGAGGAGCAGCCACACTTCCTCGAGAAGTAAATTAGGATAAACGTATAGGCAGCGAGATTTACCTCTATCTATTTTCCTTATCGCCAATTAGTAGGAGCACAATATACTACTCCTGCACAGATAATATTTCTCCCCGGATAGATAAGTATAACCGATGACGTCAGCCGACCTCCGACCTTCTCCTTATCGATGTCACTCGAGCGAGTCAACAAACAGGCAAAACGACTGCCCAAAACCGAACTCGCCAAATAACGAAATCGAGCAAAAGCATAACCGTTTCGGTGACGTGTACGAGCGTGTAACGGCACGCAGCGACTCCCTCGCACCCCCGAAAAATACAACTATTAAGTTATCAGACGCTTAATTAACACGTGAAACGCTCTCCCCCCTCCGCATTAGGGGGTGCGTAAATGCTTTTGCGAGGGGGAGGGAGATGTTATACGAATGTTTACTTGAGGAAAGTAAAATGTCATCTCACCTGTAATGGGGAAGCGCTCACATGCGATCCTGATGGTCCGGAGGCTTTGCTTTACTTTACTCGGTCTCCCGATGACATCGTGCGTTTGTTTAGCAACACGTGACGTCACCCCGAATCCTCCAGCCAATCGCCACGCGCCTCGATCTGGACGGTTGAGTAAAGATGGTCACGTGGTCTGGTCTGTTTTGCTTTTTGGCGTGTTGTGGGGAGTAGACGAGGAGCAGAGTGAGTGAAATGATTTTTTTCCCGTTCACTTTCTTCTGTTTTTTCAGGGTGTTGTTGGGGAATTTACATTTTGGAATCTTGTCATCGGCACTGATTTTTTTTTCTTATTTTTTTAAAGCCCGTTTTTTTTCTGGGTTTCGTTGATGGCCTTGATTCCGCACGTGATATCAAATAATGGTGTGATTTCGATTATCAGTGTTTTGGTATTTTTAGGATATAAATTTCACCTGCAAAAACTGCCAAAGTTTATCGGATTTTACAAGAATGCTGCAAAATTTAGGCTTCAAAAAATGATTTAACGAGAGTTCTGCAATTTTGGCTTGTAAAATCTGAAGTTTTTGAAGCCAAAATTGAAGACACGTCGAGGAGTTTCTCTGTGTGTGTTTTTTTTAAGCAGCTAGTTTGATACTCTACATTGATGAGGGCTTAAAAACACTGCTGACATTCAAAATGTGACGAGGGAAAAAACTGTTTTGATGTCTTCAATAAACGATAAGATCTGAACATTTCAAATTTTGAAGCCTCCTAAAATTGAATGCTTCAAGTCCTTTGCAAGACCTTCGACCTCATCATAAACTGATGCGAGATAAACGATGAAATTTAAAAAAAAAAGAAAAAAAAATGTATCTAAAAATATATAAATACATAAGAAAACAAAGATTAAAACTTGAATCCTTTGAAGACGGAAGAAGAAACAGGAAAAATAAACAATCTACACACTGATTCGATAAACAATACCAAAGGGAGAGAATAGGTTATCGGACCGGTCACCCAATGCCGTACAGAAGAAAGGCAGAACCGGACATACAACCAGACAGGACGTTATGCCATAAGACTAGGGGGAAACAAGAAGTAATTAAGTTAACTATTAAGCAAGTTAATGAAAATTATTGGGATTTTCCGCTGCGTGACGCGAGCCAACAGTTAGTGACGGCCCATTTGTTAACTGGTAATCGAACCCAGAATTAAATCGTTCGGAAAAAGACAACCGTAGGGAGGGAAAGAAACGAGTTCAATCCTTAACAACCCTCTATTGATTGTTTGCATAGGTTACAAGAGAAATGCTATCCGATTGCAGTTGTCTATCGCGATGCATTAATAACAAACATTGAACATGATGATGAACAGATGCGCGCGAGGTGATGATTAGATGTCCTCTTATCTTTATTCCCACTTGTTACTTTACTTTTACAGGGTGGAATGGGGTAGAGGGCGAACGGATTAGGTTATTGGGTCCCTCTACCATCCAGCCAGTTATTACTGAAGTGAGAACAGTAATTTTTTTTATTGACAAACTATAATTTAATATCAATATAATTGCCATAGTAGGGTAGAGAAGATACCGTCAGGGCCTTTTAATCCGAATCCTGGACAGGGAGTCCCAAAATTTAATCTTTTATATAAAAAAAAACACGATAACGTTCGTTTTGATAAGTGATTAAAAATGCTTCTATTTGTTTTATTTATATATTAAGGCTCGGGGAGAGGGGATAAGGTTTCACATTTATGGGATATCTTACCCCTCTCCCGGTAAATAATAGGGCCCTATCACATATCTCACAGGCCCTATTCAAAATCAACAAAGAAAATTAAACCTTGTTAATGCAAACGTACAGAGCGGCCCAAAAATCAGATAACTGATTTTTGCATAGTTTAAGAGTAATAGTATTTAAACAAGATAATAATTTAGCTTTTGCAACAGTTAACCGACTTTTCGTCCACCATTTCTTTAAAAAAAAAAATAGCAATTCAAATTCCTATGCTGTCCATTCAAAGGGGATGCAAAAACTTAGGCTCTTCTATCTTGAAAATGTTGATTTTAAAAATATTTCAGATCGAATAAAAACAATTTTATTGTTATTATTTGAGGCCCCTTAACGAAGAGGCCGCCTTCTTATCTAATCATGCGTAGGCCTATGAGCTTATCTACGAAAGTTCGTCTATTATCAAGCTACTAAAAGAGTAACAATATCTGTTTAACTTATTACTCACTCGAACCTCAATTTACAAGATAAAATTCAATGTATAACATACACAAAACCATTTTTTAATTAATAAAACCTGTATATATGTAGGGATCTAAGGCCTATATCTTATGATTTTATGCACGTGTAATCCCTTTATATCAGGTGTTTTTTTAACACGTAAGCTAAAAATCATTTTAAATCTACACTTATAAATAAATAAAAAATCAAACGAATTTTGATTCCTTAAACGGAAATTCAACGTCTAAATCAAGTCCCCCCTTGAAAAACACAATCCATTCCCCCATAAAAGCTTCGATATCTCGATATCTGACCTTTATAAAAGGTCAAAAGACGGCCATACCTATTACTTTTTTTTAAAAAAATAGTTCGTGACGTAACAAAATAATAAGTAGTGTATCCAATTAATAATAGGAAGCGCAGCGGGAGATTTCAGGAAGGACCTTTGTAATCCGAGGGTTCTTCACTGTTGGATTCCAAGATGGCCATCTTTAAAATTGTGAACTAATTGTCGAAAGAAGAGAAGCGAGACCTCGTGACGGACACGTGGCCTGCACGGTACACAAAAAGTATCCACTCGTCACACTAGTTAATCAATTCTTCTATCTTTAAAACGTCGACGTTTTAAAAGCTGCGGAAGTAACGAAGAAACACGTTAAAATTGCCAAAATTAACCAGTTTGGAAGCGTTTATAAGTGTATAAATGTATAATTTAAAATCTTAATTTAACGAAATTATAAGCTCGCAATTCAATCTATGGAGCACTTTTGTAGTAATTCTGTTACACTGTGTTATAGTAAAGGCAATTCGACTGTAATTACCAGTAAGAGATTAGCAGCATCCGAAGTTATATTGTCTATTAATTACCGAAATTGGTACAGAAATTAAAATAGTAACGATGTCGTTTCGGGGTAAGCTGATCTACGAAATTAAAACCGCGTAATCGTAAAGTTTATGCCGTTTTCTATTATTTCATAAGGCTCGCTTCGACTATGTGCTAATTCTATTATTTTTCGTCAGGTCCTTCTACTAGTACAGAATATGCTTAATCGTTCGTATATCCTGTTCGCGACTTTAATTGCGAAAAACAGTCCACAGCTATTTAATTATATAATTTTTTAAAAATAGAAACAACCACCTTATCAAATTTGACTAATGTGAGGCCTACTGTCAAAGTTTTGCTTTGTGTATCTCGTTACGCTGAACGTTTCTATGGGCCAATGGATTCCTAATAAAGAAGCGTATCGAGAAACTCCTCTACGTTCGTTTATTATAAACATAAAAAAGTTTTTCTCGATATATAATAAACAATTTAAATATAAGATACGTAAAGATTGGCCCGAAAGTCAGTTAACTGCTCGTTAAGCATTTGAAAAGTAGAGTGATTTAGTTTTTTTTAGAACGGTTAACTGACTTTTGGCCCACACCATGTTATATATAAATACGGGCTCATATTTCGAAATAAATTTAAAATCAGACCGTTGTTTAGTATTTTAAACGTTTTTTTTATATATTAAATTTAAAGTTAATAGTGTGATATAAAATATCATCTGTAATTCTTTATATGGAATACTGTACAAGTCGACCCCCCTTATAACACTGTTGATTATTCTGTTTTATATGAATTCCATGTTGTACGAGTCACTTAGATTTTACAAATACGTGTGCTGGGCTGTGAACGGCTAACGTAATTGTTAAATCTAAGTGACTCGTACAACATGGAATTCATATAAAACGGAATAATCAACAATGTTATAGGGGGGTCGACTGTATTTGGAAAATGTTAATTACTATTTTTTTATGCATAATAATGAATCTTCTTTACCAAAAAAACAGGCATTTAAATGAATTACGAACGAAAAAAACGCTCGTTTTTTACACGAAAACTGAAAATTATACGCAACTTTTGCCGATTTTACACAAACACAAAAAACGTTCTAAAACTATAAATTTAATAAAATTGTATCAGAAAATCTTTTCTGTTCGAAAAAAACAGCATTTTTTAATGTGGAAAACATTGATTTAAAGTACAGTACAAGAAGCAACAGGCCTACCACCATTCACTACATTAATAAGAGGCCTTCATCGTCTTAAACTCTCAGCACGCATGTATGAAAAGAACAAAGGAAGCTAACGAGAAATAAATCAGGAAAATTAAAAAGCGAACGTCAAAAGATGGAACCACCGAAAAACTTAGCAATATTTAAGTAATAGAAGACAAATGGCCAAGCAACGTTAGCGCCATCTGTCTTGCGATGGGCGAACTTCTTCAAAAGAGGGTGCGAGAGATAGACGTCACATGACAGGAACGACGATTATTTTTAGTGGATGACAACAAAAGGGAAGAAGCAGCAGCTACAATGTTAGAGTTCCGGTATGTGACTTAGACAGTTTTATTGGCATAAGACGACAATACAATAACTGAGCCCTATACTTGCTTTTGGACACACCATTTATCAACCAATCCTCCTTTATATCTCTAACGGGGCACCCTTGGCACGTGGACCGATGCCATTCTGCCCATTAAACCATCAGATTGGCGTATCGAAGCAGATTGAACTACTGGAAAAAAAAAAAAAGTATTTTAGTACCGAGCTCTCGCCCCCTCCCCAAACGTAAATTTTGTGCTACAGTAGAAGAAGAAGAGAGCCGAGTTCTTGAAAGTTTCAATCAGATTATCCTACTATAAGTTTTGTATACACAGGACAGATGCTTGCAGAGACGATTTTAATAGTAATTATTGTTATTAATAAAATAAACGAAGCGAAGTCCGTAAGTTACAAAGTTTACCTTCGAGTGACGAACTTGAAATATTCCAGATGGCACCGACTGGTAGCAAGTGGAGCACAAGAGAGAGAGAGAGAAACTCTGTAACGTTATTAGTAAAGTAAACCTGAGGGAGTATAGCTCTAGATGCTCTTTTTTATATACTGAAAAAAAAAGGAAATTATATATATATAAATGACGAAGTGACCATTGTATATAATCCCATTTACGTCATTGAGTCCATTGTTGTAAATAAAATTAGTAAAGTAGGAAAGGAAATTCATTTGGGAGCCTCTGGTCAAAATCATCCTCTCTCTTACATCAGAGTAAATGTCATCGTTGTCTTTTTCTGCCCTACGAAAGGAGGTTTTTTTTTTAAAGCTTGTCTGTGTGTCTGTCCTACGAATTAAAGTAAAAAGAAACACATAAATAAAATTAATTTATATTATTTTCGATTAATTTACCAGAAAAAAACAAAAGATTGTGTAATAATATGATACAAGAAACTTTGCCACCTGCATGAAGTGCCAGGTGTTGGATGTTGGGTTTTGACGTGAGTTTGCACTTATCAAATGTCTCAACTACTGCATTCTGTTGAACACGTGTGCAGGATTATCGTCGCGTGGCTGTCTGTCCGCCATCCAGGATAAAATTTCCCCTGGCAAACTTTTTTTCCCTTCTCATTTTTTAAAGCCCTTACTATAATAGTAAGAGTAATAAAAATAAATGCTGTGTAAGATTTTTTTTTCTCTCTCTCCCTCCTACCAAAATTAAGTAGGGAGCGACTCGTTCGACGATGATAATAATAATAATAATAATAAATTAATTTACGTAGATAATCGATTAAACGATTTAATTTGATAGAAATTAGTAAAATTCTGGTGAATGTAATCAATTTTTTAAAGCTAATTTATGTAGATAATCGATCTTCTAATTACGTAACAATATTTTTGTACGTATAATCGATTTCATTCATGAACGAAATCGGTTTGATCAAGAAGGGAAACCAAGCATTCATGTGCATTGTGAACACGAGTGTCGAACTCGTGAGCTGTGACGGATCATTTGGCAGATAAAGACGTGTAGAATGCATTTCTGTATAATAATAATAGCAATAAATTAAAAGATATTCTACTCTGTAGATTAAGATGCATCATTGAAAAAAAAATAATAATAAATAAATTAGATTAGAAGAAAAGTATCAGATAAATCAAGGAACAGATCATCGCAGATAACGAGGAGAAAAAAAATATTATATATGTTACGATAACAAATTAGTAACGGATAAGTAAATAAAGTCAAAATAAATAATCAGATTTGAAGATAAGCCGACAAAAAACACAGAAAAATCGATAAATTTTATAACACGTTATTAAATGTTTTGTATTTTTTTTTTTTTTTTTTTAAAAAAAAACAATAATAGATTTGTATAAACAAGGTAGCCCAAAAATCAGTTGTCACTGTAGACGAAATTTCTCTTTTATTTAACTACTTAAATCATGTTTTTTAAATGGTGTTTTCACAAATTTTAGACAAGAAAAACCCACCGTATATATCGAAAAATGTATCCGGAACACATTAAAATACGGTTAACTGACATTTGGACCTCCCCGTATGTACGATATTTAAAAAAAAAAAACTCACTGTCATTCAAAACTCTGAATGCAATTCAGAAAATAATTAATAAATTCAATAAAAAAATAATAATAATAATCACTGGAGTAAAAAAAAAATACTACGCAAAGTCATTTCCATTCATAAAAACAAAACTGCTGGTTTAAAAAGATCAATTTCACTATGAATGAATTACGTGAAATTGATTAATTTCGTTCTCATTCACGTGTAAATGAAAGCGATTAATTTACTTTCATTCACGAGTATTTTTTTTTTTACTACAATCCATTCACGTTTCTTTACGTCAATTACGAAACGGAAAACTTTTAAATGTAATTAAAATTTAATACGTTTTAAACGTAATAATCAATTATTATTACGGAATTTTTAATTTAAAAAAACAAAAAAAATCGATATTTTTTTTCGATTTAAATAAAGAATTTAAGTTAAAATCGTCGACGTCTGAACTTGTATAGAAGCTGACAAAACTAATAAATCTCGCTGACGTCATCCGAAAGCCCCCATCATTCATCAGTTCTCGTATCTACGGAAATGTCTACTAGAGGTCGCTACTTCGACCTGAAGGAAGGTATCTGAACAAACGACTTTCTTCCTTCCTGAACTGCAGTTTTTCCGTCTCGTCTCCCTCACCATCTATTCAGCAACGTCAGGAAATGGTTGATACGAAACCGACTTAGGGACTCCTCCCCCGAATGTTACCCAAATTACCCGTCATCCACCTCGCTTCCGGTCTCCTCCTCCGATCTGCCGGAAGTTCGAGTCTGTTGGCTTCGCATCGAAAATTTGGGATCCTTTACTGATGTCGATGGATGACGAGAAGATGAAATAATTCTATTGTCGGCGTCAACAATGTTATCAAAAAACTTTCTACTTTCCCCCCGCTGGAGGTTTCGGGTTCGAATCTGTTGGGTAACGAGCTTTCTAGAATGCGTAATAAGAGACCGGAAAATGTATTCCGTCCTCGTCTTTGTTGTGTTACCCAATTAGTGATCATCTAATTACTTTAAATGGGTTATTCCAGACGCATTCAAAGCTTTCTACACAAAAGTGTATAACCCTTTTCCTAGAACATTAATCTATTAAGCGAGCGTTTGTTTCAATGCCGAATTAGGAACACATACTTTTAAATTAAAAGAATAAAATGAAAGCTTATCCAACCGAAACACCCTTTTTCAGGGACCAATTTGCGGTAAAATTACATAATATCAATAGTAATGGTCGAAACGCCTGATGAACTAGTGCGAACTAATAAGAACAGTATACCGAACTGTTCTAAACTATCGAAAACACTATATGGAACCATATAGAGAGGGGAGTAGCACACTGGCGGCCCGCGGGCCTGATACTGACCTTAAAGGCTTTGGCGTTCTTGATGATTTCTTTTCCAAAAATCAATGTTTCTAACATCTTGCAAGGATTACAATAGGAGAAATTCAAACTTCTGTTTACGTAAGTCGTAAAGGCCGGCCAACAAAATGGCCTCTGTTGGAGCCATTTTTTTAGTTTACCGAATAAAAATGAATACGGTCCACGTCTGACATACATGTATTTGACTGGCCCTTTGCTACGTTTCAGTATGAGATCCTTGATACACACTATCAAAAACAGTATAAGCAACTATACAACTATAAAAAAAACAGTACACGAAACTACTGTAGACTATCAAAAACACATTTAGTACGATAATTACAACACGGCGAAGACGACAACTTTTTTTTCAAGTGTGAAAATCTTTAAAAAAACTTAAGTATATGGAGAGGAGGAAGGGGGAAAAAAAGCGGAAAAACTTTTAGAAAATGAAGGTTTGGAAGCAATAAAACGGACAAACTTGATAGAAGTTCGCTTTCAGCCCATCAGCAAAACTAATTTCCCGACTTTACCCATCGGTTATTAATCACGTGTTGTGTTGGCGCGACGGCATAAACCCCCCTTGTCACGTGATCGGGCCGGAGTCACTTTAGTATAGCCGAGATTCTTAATGAATTTACGAGTACGCGGATTGTTAGCTGGTCGAAAGGTCGTAAAATTTGTACCGGAGCCACAACCTGTACCATTAACGTTGAACCACTCTTGGTATTAAGTGACTTTTGAAAACT